GAAACTCCCTTGCCTTACGTCAAAATATGATTGAAAATGCTACAGCCCACTCTGCTCCCCCTTACTCTATGATTTCATCCTTTTTATATGCTATCTAACCTTCCTTCAAGGTCATAGTTCAGCTCCTAATTAATCAGTAGTGGTTTGATTACAATAATGTTTGCCATTTTTAATGAGCTGGTGCTTGAGTTATGTTGGACATAAGTGGACCCCAACAACACCACCATCACAGAACTTATGGACCACCAAGAAAGGACAGCCAGAGGCCCCGAGGAGGAAGGGAAACAGGTGGTGATAAGGAATTTGGTGATTTTGTTGAGGAGTGAGTGCTCAACAGTTAAAGGCCACAGAGATTTCAGTGAGATGAGAACTTACAAGATGCACTGTAACAAGAGGCATTCATTAGTGTGACAGGGCAGTGGGCAGATGGCTGTGAGAAGAGAATGGTTGGGAGGCTGAGGACGTGTGACCCGCACAGCTCCAAACTTACCAACTTTATTAGCTGAACAGTCGTCAGAGGCCACTGGACAAGACATTAGTTCTCTTCAGGAATTCTTCCATGGACAGGCAAATAGACCATGAGTGACAAAAGGGGCAGGTTTTGTGACTTAGAGAAATGGCCAGCTGGATATCCACCTGCCCTAGGAGAGAGTACCCCTTCCTGAAAAATCAGTCCGATGCTCAAAAGCTAGGAGAGTTTATACAGAGAAATGAAGATTTGTTCACATGACCACTCTTATCTGTTCGGTGAAGGGACACAGTCACAAAGGAGCTGGATAATCTCTTTAAGTAGATTGTTTATGTCTACCATCCTGTTTAATTCTACACACACACACACACACACACACACACACACACACACACACACGAGGAAGTAGAGGGCTTGGCTTGCCCAGAATCACCTAATTAAGTGAGTGGCAGAGCTGGAATCTGCACCTCCAGGAACTCTGCGTCCAACCCCACTCTACACTGCTGTAACAGTGTAATTAAGGAGGAGCTCCTGAAAGCATAGGTGTGGCCGCCTGCTCTGAGACTCAGGCTTGAAGAGAGAAGGCATCTGGTGGGATCTACATTCCACCTCCTACTGAAAGGAGCTGAGTTGTGGAGGGTCAAAGTCAGGCCAGGCCTTTCTGGGAGGCCTTCTTTAACAAAGCTTCCTTTCTGGGTGGTCCAGGACTGATCACTGGGCTGTAAGATCATGATGTTGTTTACTTCCTGGGCTGAGCCACAGCTCTTCCAAATGACAGGAAGTGAGGGCCAGTGCAGAGGAGGTGGAGAATGAATGGCATGTGCCTTTTAGAGCCATTGACCCAGATCAAGGACACATGTAGGTGGACTGAATGACAGCTTGTTGTGGGTTGAGAGCCCCCGACTTCTGATGCCCTTCTTTAAGGTTCTGAAAATTGCCAACTCTAAGGTCCTGATCATATGACACTACGAGGGTTGTGCAGATGTCTCTGGGGGAGCTGTCCCCTCTCCTTACATTCTGGAAAGATACACAGAGCCAGGCCCTACCGAGGTCACAGGTAGGAAGGGGCTTTCACCCAGCTTTGGGAATCAGCAGTGTGCAGAATGCAGGAAAAAAGCTTCAACAGCTACAGTCTGGATTTGGGATTCAAAGTCCAGCTCTGGCCTTTGAGAGTCCTGTGGTTTGGGAGGTGCACTTCCCTCGGCCAAGCCTTTGTTTCCTTATTTACAAAGTAAGGATAGTTAGCACGTGTGCTTTGTGGGAGCACAGGCTTACAGGAATGATGGATGTCAGGCGCTCGGGCATAGCATCTGACACAGGCAGATGCTGAATTATTGTCCCCATCCTCCTCACTGTCATTGGCAGGAGCTTTCCATGTGCATCTCCTCATGTTCTTCCAATTGCATCAGAACAAAGGAGAGCAATTATGAGAAACAATGGCCCCTGGGAATCTAATCAAACCCCCAGAGGCAAGCAATTCACCAGACAAGCGGTAAGTGGCTCCTCTCCACAGACCCGTCACCTGCCTTGGTCTTAATAGTCCATGGGGCTCTCATTTGCATCCCAGAGAAATTCCGTGGAAACTCAACAGCTAAGAGAGATGGCAAAGGCAAAGGGTTTCATGCTATCTGGAGATGTCTGGGTTCTGGGAACCTGTGACAGTATTTCCTGTATTTGTCCCCTACCACCGCCGCACACCTCCCTGGGGATTCTAGACTAGTTTGGGAAGTTCCACTATAAGATTTTAGCCTTTATAGATGTCCTGGGTTAAAGAAATATATTTTTCCATTTCCTTCGTAGAGTCTGATTTTTCTCTATACTGTTTCTACACCTTTCCCTATCTGCCAATCAGCTTATAATTTGAAAATTTGGACATACCCTGGAAAGAGTTGGTTATGTGAAGACGAGTGAGCAGAAGCTACCGCAGTCCCATTACTCTGCCCAACATTTGGCTTCTAGAGTACTAGCTTCTTCAGACAGAGATACCTGGCTGTCCTCTAAAATCAATGCAAGACTTACGGGCATCAGCCAAAGGTTGTAATTCCTGGCTCCCCAGACTCTCAGTGACCCTGTGTGATATGCTCACATGTATCACCTCTGAGCCAGACATTTAAGGAATGGGTGTGTCTTCTACATAGTTTCCTTTTGGCCAAAAGATATCCACATGTAATCATCACTTCCATCACACACAGTAGAGGGTACTATACTACTCTGTGGATGGCATGGGCTCAGCATGAGTACCTGAGCTCTGCCAGTGGGGAAGGAATCAATGAACAAGTATGTGGTTGGGTGAACAGAACCCAAAGATGAGAAACTCAACAAGAAGTGAAAGAATCAGACTAACTTTGTAACCTATGTTTCTTTTAATTGCCTTATAATTTATATTTGCAAGTTTTAGGCCCATGTTAATTAAAGCCTCTTAGTGCTTCTCCAGAGAACCAAAGAATGTAAAAGTTCCTGACATTAGCCATCTGTGAGGGCAGAGATAAGAAAGAGAACAAGCAGAGATCTCTACTAAATGGAAAAAAAATCACCAGCTGGCGCCGGTGAGATGGGCTTTGTTTGGAAACTGGGCCAAATGGCCCCAATCCTTCTCCTGACCTTTGATCCAAAGCCTGTAACCCCCACTCCTCAGAACAGACATGGGATGAGTTAATCACCCTCCTACATTTAACTGTGGATGGCAGGAAATTCCAAACTGACTTGAAGATTAGATATTCATGACAGGGCTGACTGGACCTAAGGGTGACCAGAACTAACCAATTATTTTAAAAGTTAAACATTTCATCCAATCCTAAATTGCCAAGAAGTCAACCCCAGGAGATTCCCGCCTTGTGTCTTTTAAAAACCCAAGGTCTTTGTTTCCCGGGGCCACTCCTAGCTGACCAGCAGGGGTGACCCCATTGCGCAATGGTCAAGAAGAGTCTCTTGCGTTTTTGCATCGATGGTTGATTAGTTTCCTGAGTTCTCTTCATACCTTCTTATATTTAGGCTCTTGCTGGGCCTAACAGAAGCATGTCTGAGGTGCCTAGGCATTGGGGCATAGTGCCGACCATCTTGATTTTCTACATATGTCATCAATGAAACAACCAACAACTTCTTTATGTCACACACATTTATTATTGAAGCTCATTTCTGGGATCTTCATGAATGCCACTCCTCTTCCCCAGCTTTGAAGACATCCCCCAATGTTCCAGCCCGATCTGACTGTGTCCAATCACTCTACCTCCCTCCAGCTTGCCTGAGCTGCTCTGATCTTTCTGAACTTGCCTCTGAGACTCAGTATCACAAGATGTCTGATGACCCCAAGGAAGGTGAGGAGAGTGGAGCTGAGGAGAAACTGGTGACCGAGAGAAAAGGGCTGGGGGAGACCAGGACCATGGCCAACTTAGACCCCTACCCCCACCCCAGAAAGGCTATTGAGAGGTTCTGAGGACAGCTCTTGCTTTCTCTTTATAGCCTTTTGAGTCAGTACAAAGCTGAGAGATGAAGGGAGACAGAAACAAACTTCTAGTCAGCCCTTGTGTGTAAATGATGCCGTATGCCTGGACTCTCCCAGGGGTCCTGGGAGGCTAACCAGGGCAGCATTCTTCCGGCTGGCTGTAGTCCTTGGAGGCCAGAGCAGCATGCATTGGGGTTATCTGTCATCCCAAATGAGGGTTTTCTTCCCTGAGTATTTCAAAGGGCTGTAGTCTCCACACCGACTTGGATATGTCTGACCTGAGGATTTCTCTAAGGCACTTCATCTGTTTTCATAAAGCCAGTAATATGTCACAAATGTTACAGCAGCACAACTCCCTAGAGTTCACAAGGTGAGGCATGTAAAAACTCCCAAGGTCCCTAGGAATTTTGGAGACTCCTTAAAGTTACATCTACTTCATTTTAAATATAAAAATAAAATCCACCCCAACAGCTTGTGACCAAAACGTACAGCAAGCCTGAGTCACAGTCATCACCCAGAAGTACACAGCCACAGCAGAGGCCAGCTCTGGAATCCATAGCAGCCACAAGAGGCTCAGAGAGCCTGATGCTCGCAACACTGATGGGAATGGCTTTCCACCGTGGACACACAGTCCGCGCACTGAAAAGTCAGACTCTGACAAAACTTGCTGCTGTCCCAGCGAAACAACGGTGTCACTGGCTGCTGGGTGCCTGTGCAATCCGGGTTGGCCTCCAAGTCAGAGTCAGAAGAGTGACAGCTGCTGCTGTCATGTTCCAGGCCCTTTCTGGCCTCATTTTTGGCTCCACCTCCACTTGTAGACTCTTAGGAACACACCTGGTGCCCAAACTCTTAACTCCAGATTTCCAGCCTGGGATTCTGAAGTTTTCCGAAGAACTTGGAGAACAGTAATACACACACACACACGTATGATGCAAACACACACGCACCACAGACACATTCTCACAGAGGCAGCAGACAGCAGAGGTGGAATGAACAAAGGTGACTGGTGGTCACCAGCCCAGATGCTTCAAGGGGCCAGTCCCTTTGGCCAGGGTCTTCATAGCACTCAGCAATGTGAGGAGGGCATGGTTAGGACTTCCGGAAGCGTACCTCACTCTGAGGGAGAAACCAGGAAAACAGGGTAATGGTGAGCACTAGACACAGAGCCCAAGGAGTAGAGAGTCCAGGGCCAACCATTCAGTACAGCTGAATGTCAGCTGGCACTTTCTCTGTGAGAGAGGAGATTCACTCTGAGGTTCATGGTTGGGAGTTCTGGTGCAGTTTTCCCCTGAGTCCTGCATCGTCTTCCCTTGTCCACAGAATAGGGGAGGGTTGGCCATAGCACTAGGCTTTACAGTTAGAGACAGGAGACTGGCAAGGAGGCAGGGTAGGGCTGGACGGAGCCAGCAACACTGGGGGTAGCTCCATGCCTCCTGATGGTCAACTTCCTGCCATGGAAGGTAGCCTCCTAGCACACTCTAGTGGCCAATTTGGATAACTTTGACTATCCCTGGGAGAGGAGAAGAACATTGGTGTTAACACCACACCTAGGTTCACCCCTTTACAATCCTCCAGGTTCTGTTCCAAAGGAAGCAAAGGAGGAAAATAGACATCGTAGACTGGTCCCATGCCTGACTTCTGTCCCTGTCTTAGACATCCCCAAATGCACAGGGCTTGGGTGGCCTCTGTCTGAACACCCTCTGCCCTCCTCCGGGCTCTATCCCTATCCTGAGAGAGCTCACCTCCATCTTGCTATAAATCCAGGGAAGTACTTCTGTCACTTTGGTGTACACACCAGGCTTGTTTCTCTGGCCACAGCCTGTGCCCCAGCTGGTGACGCCTGCCAGGTACCAGCGATTGTTCTGCTCACAGACAAGAGGGCCTCCACTGTCTCCCTGCAAGGAAGAGCCAGAGGGCAAGTCAGGCTGGTGCAGAAGCGGGGTCCAAATCAGGAAAGGGTGGGTCTCTGATCCCCGTGTCAGTCCCAGAACGGCAGTCTTCTCCCATCCCCAGGGTCATGAGACCTGAGCCCCACCCACAAGAACCTCACCTGACAGGAATCCCTCCCTCCTCGGAGGTCCCCAGCGCACATCATCCGAGGGGTAAGATAGCTGTCATAGACCAAGTAGTCATTGCACTTCTTGAAGTCGATGAGGTTGACCTGAACCTCCCGGAGGAAGGGAGATGTCTTCTCTTCAGTGAGGTAAATGTGGGGAGAGAAGATAAGAAGCCAATAAGACTGAAAACGTTCACAGCCATAGCTGCACCCTCAGGACCCAGAGCCTAAGCCTCCTGGGAGTAGAGGGTACCACATCTGTGTCCAAACCCACCCTTCCATGGTGGGACACACACCCTCACCACCAGACACAACTCACTAGCCATAAAACAAGGATCTGCTCCCATGCAAATCCCCAGGCCTGTGGGCTACGTATCTGCAGTGGTTTGTATGAATTGCCAACCTAACAGGACCTAGAATCACCTGGGGAAGAAGCCTCAGAAATGCCTGTGAAGGATTTTCTTGGTTAGGTAAACTGAGGTAGGAAGATCTATCCTAAATGTGGGCAGTACCATTTCATAGGCTAGGTCCTAGACTCTGGGTGAAAAAGAGAGAGGGAGCTGAGCAGCAGTGGTTATCTGCCTCTGCTTCCTGACGGCAGATACAGTGTGGTGATCTACCTAAGCTTATGCTTCTGTGACCTCCCTGCCAGGAGGGTCTGTATCCAGGAACTGTGAGCTAGTAAACCCTTCCTCCCCTAAGCTATGCTGTCAGGTCGTTTGTGACAGCAACGTGCAATGACTAACACACTCATCTACATTCAGAGCACCAGCTCATATGCCGTTTGTTTTGAGAACCGTAAAGATTTGAGGGCATGCCTTGGTCTTCCATTTATATGTAGACTCCCACTTAGATAGGATTGAGGGAATTATTTGTCCACCTCCAGCACCAAATTGGTGAAACAGACAAGGGCCAGTCAGGTCTCCACCACAGGAAGCCAGGGAATAGTGATCTGACTGCCGGAGTGGGTCTGAATGTAACGACCAGGCTAGTTAGGCCTGTCCCCCCCTGAGGGACATAGATAGTCATCTATAGCTGACACCAGACAGGGTGCTCAGACTGAGTGAGGCCAAGTGAAACTATCTCATCATCTGCCTTAGGACGGGTGAAAGCAAGGTCCCAGCCAGGTCTAGTGGTGCAGGCCTGTAATCTGAACTGCCCTGGAGGCTAAGGCAGAAGGATCTGCTCATGGCAAGCCTAGGCCACTAGATGAGTTCAAGGTCAGCTGGGGTAACCTACTGAGACCTTGTTTCAAAATAGAACATAAAGAAAGCCTGGCAATGTCATTCTATAGTAGAATACTTTTTTTTTTTTTGCATGAGCAAGAGGCTCTGGGTTCAAGACCCAGTATTGCAAGAAAAAAATTCCTTATATAAACGACAAACATGAAGCATCCTCTCTCCCAGTCAGTACAGGGCCCACTGCTGCCCCACCATGAGAGGCTCAGATTCCACCTCCCTTCTGGATGGGATTATTAAGTTTTTCAGCCACTGATTCTCAAGAGTATCCAACCTAGAGAAAGTGCCATGTCCTTGACCTCTCTCCAAGATACCTATAGCCTACAGTAAGCCCTCTCTAGTAGCCTATTTGAAAAACAATCATTTATTTCATTTTATGTGTATGAACTTTTTTGTCTCTGCCTATGTACCTGGTGCTCCGGGAGGCCAGAAGAGGGCCTTGGGTCTCCTGGAGCTGGAGTTACAGGCAGTTGTGAGCCACTATGTAGGTGCTAAGAACTAAGCGTAGGTCCTCTAGAAGAGAAGCAAGTGCAGTTGATCAACTGAGCCATCTTTCCAGTTCGTCTATTAGCCTCGTAATGGAACGTGTGTTTCCTCTCACTGGCATGAGAAGAAAATCCACCTGCTCAGCGGTCGGGGTTTCCTTGCAGCCTTGCCTAGAAGGTGTTGCCACATAGATTGTGCTAATGCAGTTATGGGTGTCCAAGTTCATATATTATCTATGAGCCTATCTACCCAAACTCTCACCTGGAAAAGCCTTCATCTGCATACCCCCGGCCTACACACACACACACACACACACACACACACACACACACACACACACAGTCTTGCATCTCTGCCTCTCACCGTCTGTCTCCTTGGTTTTGCCAAAGCCAGTTATCCAGCAGGTCTCATTGAGGCCGAAGGTCTGCCCATGCATAGGGAGGCAGGCAGGGTGGATGTGAGCTGCAACAAGACATTTAGGTGTCAGAGAGGAAGCAAGGTCCGGGCTTTGGGTAGAGGGAATGATGAGGCAGAGTGTCCGAATCCTAGGAGCCCAATCCTCGCTCTCTTGGTGGCTCTGAGTCCTCCGAGCCTTTGGAACGAGCAGAGGTGAAAATCAGTCATTTCATCTGAACCTTGTGGCCACCAGTGCGCTTCCAGCACCATGAAGCCATTCTCGTTCCAGTGCTGTAGTGAACAGCTTTGGAAGTTTGCTTGAGCCAAGTTGACACAGAAAAGTCTCTCTGTCAAGAGCAGCTCTTTTGGCTCCCAGGCCTTGCCCTCAAAGCATGGACGATGAAAGATGAGTTTCAGCTGTTGGGGCCTTGCTGCATGCTACCTGGTCCAGAAGGGCACCACTGGGTTGGCCACCACTTGGGACTCTAAACACTCAGAGGGTGAGTGACCCATGCCCCAAGGACAGAGACCACAATGCCCTGCATTAGCGTCTATGCCAGGCACTACCTATCAAGTATTTTTTTGTATTACTTCATAAGTTCCCTTGGCATGAGCTTCCCTTAGATGCTTCTGTGATACTGACCACTCAGCTCAGCTCTGAACTATAGGAGGAAAATATTGCCTGATAGAGCTCTGCAGAGTTCTCGGTCATTTGTTATGGCCACTATTGCATTCTGCACTCGTTTCTCAGCCTGACCCAGACTTGGGAATCGATGAACATTTGAGGATGGAGAGGGCACTAAGGAGAGAGGGAAGAAGTCGGGTTGTGGTTATTAGGATTTTTTGTTTTGTTTTTCTTGTTTGTTTGTTTTTCGAGACAGGGTTTCTCTGTGTGGCCTTGACTCACTTTGTAGACCAGGCTGGCCTTGAATTCACAGAGATCCACCTACCTCTGCCTCCTGGAGTGCTGGGATTACAGGCATGCGCTACCATGCTAGGCTGGAAGTAGATTTAAGGGGATGGATGTAAAGAGTTATAGCCCATCCCCACTTCCTGATCTCACTCGGATGTGAGGAAGTAGCTACACACTCTTGCTGCCATGAAATTACCTGCCACTGTGCTACTCCACCAGGAAGGACTGTGTCCCTTTGAGTAAAAAACCAAACAAATCCTTCTGACCTTACGTTGCTTTTGCTAGGTGTTCTGTTGCAGCAGTGAGACAAGTAGCTGATGCACACTGCCCGGCAGCTGTGAAGTGCGTAGTTACTAACAGCGAGTCACCTCAGTCTGTTCATATTTATTAAGGCCGGTTTACAAGCCCTAGCCCTGTGGCCGAAGTGTAATGTGGGATGCGTCATTTGGGGCGCACATATTTCGAAATCTTGGGCCTAAATTCCCACAATTATTGTTTTCTCCTTTCCTTGTGTGTTCTCGTGTGTGTGTGTTTGTCGTGTGCCCCCACATGGGCACTCATGAACAGACAAGCACATAGAGACACGTATAGGTGCTATCGCCCATGCAAGTACATAGAGGTCAAAGATTCATGCCAAGATGGTTTTTCTTCAAGCACTTCTATACCCTGTGTTGTTGAGGCAAGGTGTCTCACTGAACTAGAAGCTTTGGCAGGTCATCAAGGCCCTGGGACCCTCTTGTCTCTGCCCCCCAGTGCTGACATTACAGGCACATGCCTCCAAGCCCAGCTTTTCCCATTGGGTTCTGGGAATCTGAACTCAAGTCTGCATTCCGGTACAGCCAGAACTTTACCCGCTGAGTCATCTCCTCCAGACCCCCAGTTTTCTTACATGTAAAACAAGTGTATCCCGTGTAATGATCTCTAAAATTCTTTGGCTCCTGCTATAATGACGCCCTGGAGCCCTAGCTGGGTAAACTGGGGCTGCCAAATCAAGGGTGCTGGGAGGCAGGGACACGTATTTGCTCACCTGAGAGGGTCAAGGGCTTGGAAAGCCGCATGAGGGCGATGTCATAGTCATCCTGCTCATCAGTGTAGTTGCCGTTGATGATGATCTGGGAGATAGAGGCAGCCTCAGGCAGCTGGTGCAAGTTGCTCGTGCCCGCATAAACCTTCCACCCCTCCAGAATCTTCTCCCGGGTCCTACAAGAGCCACAGCGGATAAATGCTATCCAGTTATACACCTGGCAGACCTCACTGGCTACATCTGCTACACATGGGGAGCCAGAGCAGGAGCACCAGCCTAGAGACAGGAGGATGGATAAGTCCTTTATCTTATGAAGCCCCAAATCATCTCTCAGTCTCCTCAAAACTGTTCTGAATGGGCTGCCCTGCACCTTAGAGTGTAAAAAGGTGAAGGGATAAGAAATTCATATGTGTGGGATTCACCCCATTACCTCATCTGCATGCCATTAAGGCTGGTGTCTAGGCAGTGGGGCAGATGCCATCAGCCACAGAGATTTAGACAGAACAAGGTAATGAAGATTCTTTACTGTGGAGCCAGTGTCCAAAGCTCTGTGCTATAGATTCCCAAAAGCTGTTAGGGACTCTCAGAAGCCTTTGTCCCACCCTCCTGCTGTCCCTGCCCTCAAGTCTTGAAACAGGGTTCCTGATTGTCAGAGTTTTCTGTTGTTGTCTCTGCAGCTGCTGTTCCAGGAGGTGGCAACCAAGCCTGGAGCTTCACTACTGTTCTGCAGGGAAAGGATCTGAAGGTCTTCCTCCAGACCCGCCTCGCTTTTCCTCAGGGCCTCACTTATCATCCTTGGCCGAAGCTCAGAACCAAACCCTCATTCATACTTGATCTTTTGAGCAGGAGCTGGTTGTCTGACCCAGGGGAACTAGGCTTAGTTATAGACAAAAGTGTCAATAAACCCTTCCCAGTGGCTCCAAGTCCCCAGCAGCATCTAACCAAGGGCCCCTCAGGCACTTACACAAAGAAGCAGTGGGCAGCGGTGAGCACCCACTGGGCATCGATGAGTGTGCCCCCACAGATGTGGGTGGTGCCAAAGTGTAGGCTGACTTGCCAGGGCCACTTGCTTTCTGAGGTCAGAGCCCCTCCCACAATCCGCCCGGTCATAGCTCTCAGACCACAGTCTAGGGGGGAGAAATGGAGAGGACAAAACATGACATATGCTTCTTTTAGAGCCTCTCCCATTCTTCTTGAGCTCAGGGCAGGCCTGGGAAGTCCGATCCTGAAGGTCACCCTTTGTCCACAGTGTCTAATCTATTCCCTGTCCAAGCAGAAGGTGTACAAAGTGGTCTTTGACTTCTGGAGTTACCCAGCAGGAAATCTGACCCCACCTTCACCTTGTTCCCTTTCTTTCTTTCTTTCTTTCTTTCTTTCTTTCTTTCTTTCTTTCCTTCCTTCCTTCCTTCCTTCCTTCCTTCTTTCATATGGCACATGCTTACTTCATGTCCAATGCTTCAGCACTGAGTCTGGCTTGGTTATGAGGGTGAGTCCCAAGGATGTCATCAAGGGCTCAGAAAAGCAAAAGATGCTATCACAACCCTGGACCGATGAGCACTTGTATGGCAATCTCTCGTTTCAAAATGAAGGAGAAATACATTTCCTATGATGCATAGCTGGGTTTGTCCAGGGAGCAACTCTGTAATGAGTCAAGCCCGGGACAAGGAGGGGCAACCTGCTTAGTGTGTTCAGATGTGGATTTCTTCTGCTTGCCGAGTACAGAGAGAAGCACACTGAGCAGTGGGCGCTGCATCCACAACAGTGGGCTAGCCTGCACCTGGGCTTCACCAGGGACATAGACCTTGTGGAGTCACAGCCAGGCCTTAGGGGTCAACTCCCAGGTCAGATATCAGCTCCCCACCTGCCTGGGTTCTGATCTTAGGCAAGGGACAGTGACTAGTAATGGCAATCACCTTGAGGGCACTCAAGCCATGACACAGGTACAGTACCCTCCATGGGCACACACTCAAGGAAGTGTTGACACAAAATTGAGCTAGCTCACACGTGCCATCTTTACTAAGTTCTCAGTCCCCGCTGAAAGTCCAGAAGACTCATATGACTTCCTCAGAATGACAGGTTACAGGACTAAGGGGCCTAAGGTCAGAAGGAACAGAAGGGGAGCATTTCCCAGTCTACCTCAATGTCTTCTAGGGTCTCTGGTTCTGAAGCAGACTCACTGGCTTGGCTCTCAGGAGCAGCCTTCTTCCCTAGAAAGGTTCCATCCCTTTGCCTCATCCCACCCCCACAGTTTTTGGGCTCACTCCAAAAAGAAGAACAGCTTACGGGAGCACTGCAGGGAGACGTACCGCTGGGAAGGACATTCCGACCTGCAGTGTGAGACATGAATGGTGAGAAAGGGGGTCAGTAGCTGCCTCCTCTTCCTGACTGGTACCTGCTCAGATCCAGCCCCGCTTCCAAGGAAGCTACCTCTAACAAAAGTGGAGAGCCAGACGCTCCCTCTCCCGGTAGAGTTGTCTTCCTTACAGGACTTTCTCCAGGAAGATGGATGGGAGCAAACTGTCTCCATTATCATTTCCTTTCTCCTCCGAGTTTTCATACCGTGAACCCCGCTCATCAGCTAGTTTTCCTGTCCTTAGAACCCAAGCAAGCCTTCATGGGTCCCAGCCCCTTTCTACAACTAAGCAGAGCCTAATGGGCCTTCTGTTGCCCCATCATGTTCCTCACTGTAGCATGTGGAGGGCCTAGCCCAAAGCATGCACAGAGGGACCATCTCTCAGCTGGAGGCTTGCTCCTTCTCTTGCCCTCACATTAGGTAAGCAAGGCCAGCTGGAAGACTGACTTCCTCCTTCTTCAGAGGGAGCTGGGACAAAGAGGGACTGCAGTGCAAAGATGGCCGGAGGGGCCGAGGCTTCCCAGATGGACCTCTCCACTTGTATCTGTCAGTCCCCTGCCCCTGTCCCCAGTGATGCATCTTTCTATTCTAAGTCCATCATGTGGAGCCTTTTAATCCAAACACCTAGTTCTCTGGAACCCCAAGGTTTCTTAGTCGCCCTTAGAGGCTAAGGAGGCAGGAGCCTCCAAACTTGGGGCCATCTCTGCCCCAGATTTCAGACAAGAGAGTTTAAGCCCGGGGTTTCCATAGTGCTCCTGGCATAGCAATGGAGCCTTGGAGTCTGGGTTCCAAGAACGCATGACGGAGGTACCTCTCCCCCACCGCCCGACTCTAAGCATCCTCCCCCAATCCCTCTGTCCTCTGTTTTCACACACAATTAGGTTGTTCTGCTGTACCTATAGAGGCTTTCCTGGATGGTGGAGTTGTATTCAGAGAGTAAGAAGCTTCTGGTGATGTCCCTGTGGGCCACCTCGGTTGTTCGGTAAGCGCTGCAAAGAAGAGGGAAGAATGAATACCCAGTAGGCAGCAGACCCCAAGTCCTGTGGCAGCATTAGAACCTTTCAGACAAAAGCAGACTAGCGCAGCCTGGCCTGCTCAGTGGCCTCTCCTTCATAGCTTTTAACGCCTGGCCTACCACATGTTCTACCACCAAACCTGCCAGCCCTGTGACTGACCCAGGAGCTCTCCAGTATGATGTAGGTCTGGCCACGTCACCAGTACCTGGTTAGAAAGGCACATTCTTGGCTCCACCTCCAGACTTAGAGAAACAGCTCTGGGAGGAGCTCAACCACTAATGATTTAACAGCTCCAGGCAGTTCTGATACATCATTGACTTTGAGAACACCCATTTGGCCCTTTATACCTAAAGTGGCTGGGTTTTATGTCAACCCAACGCCGGCAAAGGTCATCTGGAAAGAACTCTTAATTGAGAAAAATGCCTCTGTTGGATTGGCCTATAGGTAGGTCTGTGCTCTACAGGGCATTTTCTTTTTTAATGATTGATCTGGAGAGCCAGGCTCACTATAAGTGGTGCCAACCCTGGGCAGGTATTACCAAGTTGTGTGTGTGTATATATATATATATATAATATCACATCACGCTGCTGAGGCCTCCTTCATGGCCTCTGACTTTAGTTCCTGCCTTTAGGTTCTTGCCCCAACTTTCTTCCGTGACAGAGTGTGAATCAAGATTATAAGTTAAAAGAAACACTTTCCTCCCCAAATTGTCGTTGGTCATAATGTTTTACCAGAGCAATAAAGACCCCAAGATTAAGACAATATCCAAACTGTGACCTACATTCCAGTGGCATCAGCACTACCCCCAACATACTGAGCACTAACCTACAAGGTCAAGGTCCCCAGAGAGTGATCCAGTATATATGATGTTGACTCTCAGAGCAGCTCCCCTCTGAATCGCCCTGGGCATTTGCTAAAAAAAGTTCTTAGTCCTAATCCTAGAGATTTATTTTGTGAGAGACATTTTTACAAGAACCCCAATGATTCCACTATGTTCCATTCTCTGCCTGGGACCTATATACATTTCTAGAACATTCTATATCCTTCTGTGAACTGGGCCTGTGAATATGCAGTCCCTCTAATCAAGCAGAGTTAGGAATCTTCTCCATTGTGTCCCACTAGAACCCTACTCGTACCTTTGGTGTGGGGTTGCTGGGATAAACTTTTCCCACATCACACTAGAGGGTCCTGTCTTATTCTTTTACGCCTATGTGTCACGTAGTCTCCTAGAAGCTCTGTGGATGATCTTTGTATAAATGGCATTCAGAGAATGTTGAGGGGTATCAGACTTGCACAAGGTCGCAGAGACCTCACAGCATGTCTGCTCAGAGACAAAGGCACCCCAGTCTTCAGTCTAGATCAGTTAGCCCCTTCTTTACCCATCAGGGGCTGAGGTGGTGGCAGAGACCGAGCTCTGAGTACTAGCTTCAACCCTGCCTTTCTAGGTGTTACTCCTAAGGTAACCCCCAAACTCACACTCGTTCATCCATCCCTACGTCACTCAGCTTAAGAACTGGGAGAAAGGGAAGGTGCTTGCCACAAGAGCATGAGGACCCATGTGAAAAGGCAGAACTGGAGGCATGCTCATAACCCCAGCACTGGGAAGTAGAGACAGGCAGATCTAGCATGGGCAGCCAGCCTAGCTTACCTCACAAGCTTCAGGCTAAGAGACTCTCTCTCAAAAAATAAGGTGGCTGACTCCTGAGAACAACCTGAGCTTGGTCCTCTGTTCTCCACATATATGTCCTTGCACATACATGTGCCACCACACACAAAACTCAGACCAAAATGGTGAGTGGAGGTGCCTATCTGGCCTTCAGGTGGGAGGAGCCTTCCAGTAGGAAGGTTGACTCACTCACCAACACTGACTGGCTTCCTAGTGTGAAACTTTTAAAGCCAAAGCATCATAGGACTTGGCCAAGCCGCACTGGTCTTATCTTGTTTCTCATTCAATGAGCTTCATAACCAAGCCACAGTTACAGCCACAAAGGGCTCTGCGCTTCTGCGCTCCTGGTGACCATATGTAAGAAGACCTGTCCAAGAAGACCCACACTCCTCACAGAGCCTTACCGGAACCACTCAGTGTGGTAGTGGCCAGGAGGGTACTTTCACCAAAAGAGCACCGGGGGAGAACAACACTATCACAGCTCCCCCACACTCAGCAGATCCCAGCTGGTAGGATCAGTGAGTCCTGCAGGGCCCCTTCCCTTCCCCCTTTTTTTCTCCTCCCTCCATCAATCTCTCCCTCCCTTCCTCCTTTTGGAGACAGATTCTCTCTGTGTAGCCCAGGCTGGACTCATTCACCTGTCAAAGCCCAGCTGCTGGCAGGTCCTCTTGGAGTCAGTGTCGTTCCAGCTGCTGCTGCAGACAGGGAGCCACTCACCAGAAGACCCAGAGTAGACCTTCAGCAGAGACTTGTCCCAGTCAAACCTGACTGCAGAGCAGAAGAGGGAGGAGAAGAGTCTCACCACCCAGGAAGCTTCAAGCTCTTGGGGATAAGTCGTGGGAGGCTCTGGGAGGCTCCTGGAAGGGGTGTGGGAAAGCTACCCCAGCAGTGATGGCTGGAGGACCAAGACATTCAGTCAGCAAAGAGCTGAAGTGAAGGGGCTGTGACTGGGCAGCTGTTCATCCAGCAGGACTCAGGAGGCCAATTCCGGGAGAGGGACAAGCATCTCTCCCCAAGGCAATGACATGCTCAACGGAGATGATAAAGGGTATAGGATCAATGATCTGAGTGTGTGTTTGTAGGACAGGCTTGGTAACAGACAGGTACAGTGTGGGCAAGGGCATATGTACTAATAAATGTGGAGGTAAAAGGCTGGGGCACCCACACCCCTCAGCAAGGGTGTTAAAACCACAGGAGCAGAACCACAGAGGACTAGAGCTCAACAGGTCTTTGTGCTCATCTAGGGCACTAAGCAACTGCAGGGCTCACAAGCCAGAGGTCTGCTGAACAAAGAGGACCAGGCTTCCAGACGCCCTCAGCCTGTCTCCAGTCAGATTTTCTGTTTTTCTCTGTCTCCTGGAGTTTCAGATTTCGTGTGTCATCAATCTCGCCCAGCCCCTTCATTTTAAAAATTAGAAGTCAGAAGCCTGAAGACATAGGTAATTTATCCATGTCACGTGACACTCAAAATCAAGTTTCAAAATCTTGTCTGCTGTGTCTCAAACCAAGATCTTCTGCTACCCATTGCCTTTGTCTGAGCCATTACATTCCACAATGTAGTGTGTAGTAGCCAGAGCGCGTGCGCGCGCACACACACTTCCCCACGCCCAGCCTTCTTACCACAGCCCAGCTCATCGCTCTTCATTTTGCAGTCCACCACTCCGTCGCAGCGGACGGCATGCCTGGGGCAGCTCTCCACCGGTTCTTTGTACTTGATCCCTGTGTGGCCTCTCCAGAAATAGACTAGAAAAACAGAACAAACAACAAGCAGACAGCTGGCTATCACCAGCACCTGAGGGACAGGATACTCAGCAGCCCAGGGCCCTGGGGATTCTCAGACACCGACCTGCAATCCCTCTTGGACTCTGGGGCTCCTGTCCCTCATCTGTATGGAGAGAAAGGCTGCTCAGGAATGTTCTAGAATGCTCCTGCAATCCGGGAAGCCCCCAGACAGACTTGAACCTCTAGCTACCCAGAGAGGCAAAGGAAGAGACTAAGAGAAATAACGAGAGATGGACATGGATCCTACTTTGGAAGCTTCCTTACCCTATATGCTGGATGGGCTAGTAACCAGAGTAACCTCCTCCTGTTCCAGAGTTCCCTCTCAGAACCCCTCTTCTCTGACACACACACACACACACACACACACGCCATCTCGTCTGTCTTCTCAATTGATACCACAATGCTAGCCTCAGCAGCCCCTAGCATCCTCCTCCTTTATCCCTAAATGTGGATATCCCTTGTATTTGGTCCTTCCCTACCTTTCTTTGTGCCTTTCAGTGTCTTCCCACACTCAACAAGCAACTCCAAGTGGCTGATTTCCAAATGTGCAAGGAAACTTCTCACACCTTATGTGGGAACCAGCACCACATCTTCCTCTGCCTCTAACACCAATCTCTTCCCAAATTTGAGCTATCAATCTACTGCCTGGAGACAACCTCCCTGTGGAGCCCCACAGACCTGTCATCTAATGCATCTGCCGTTTCCTCAGCTCTGGCCCCACATTGTCTCCCCAGCTCTACCACCAGATTGGTGTCTATCACTCAGGGGAAGGCCACCTACAGAGACAGCTCCTTCCTAGTCCAGACATCCATCCTTCTAATCCCTCTCCTCTCAGTGTCCTGCCCTCCTCCTCACACACTCTAGATGCTGAAGCTCTAGGGAGTCCTGGGTATCCCTCCAACAATGCTTGACGGCTGCACATCATAGGACCACTGTGGAGTGTTTGTGGATGGAGTAATGATGGGAGAAGAACTTGATGGCCAGGCTTGGCCTACAGATCCGATTTCCCTCTCTGGCCTCCTGGAAAGAGCTGTGAGGACTTTGGGAAATGCTACAGAACCAGCTTTGAGGTTTCCCGTTGAGCCTGCCCTTGAGTGTCTCGTGTCTCTTTCATGTCCCCTTTGTTCTCAGAAGCAAAGTACTCTACTGGCAAAGGGAGAAGTGGACAGAAAGTCTCAGCCCAAGGAAACAGTACATGCTGGACCGAATGATCAATGATGAACAGCCTCCCATTCAAAGAGACCAAAATGGAGCCCAGTGTACCGCAAGCATTCTTGTTTATCATCACATGCATTGTGAACATGACCACATCATCCGGGTGGGGAAACTGAGGCGCAAAATGTTAAATTAACTTGCTGAAGTCATACAGTTCATGGGAAACAGAGGCAGGATGCTGGAGCAGGAATGTGTGACTCCACAGCTGTGATATGACAGCACAGGGCCTCTTCCTCTAACAGCTGTGCCACCAGAAGTTTCTGTGTACCCTTTCACCCCCCCCCATTTGCCATCTCATGTTGCCTCTTCTATAGAATCCTTCTGAGCCGAAGCACAAAGCTTTCCAGCCTCAGGCAGCTAAACAGATGGACCCCTGGCTCTCTATGTATCTCCCTTCTGGGTAGGTGGATTCTTTCCCTCTACCTGACCACCTGCCCCCTTCCCCTCCCTTACACCTGATGTAGGAGAGACATAACTACTCTCCTACCTTTCAGGTCTTCGTCTGAGTTTGTCTGCACCCTAACCTGTACCACCGTCACTTGTCCCTGATGGTCACCTTGAGACCATACAGCCTGACTCGCTTCTATCTCCGTGTCTCAGGGGTGAGTGACCTTCCTGGGATAGAATAACATGATATGTGTTTATCTTTGCTCCCTCCTATGTTCCCCCTTGGGTTGGCTTCTAATGCTTGCTGATCAAAGTACCTAGGGCATGTTCTGGGTTTCCTCTCCCAAAGGACAACATGAAGGGAGGGGGCTGAATCCAGATAGCACACCTTGGCCCTTTGATCTTTGGAGGTCTTTTCATTGTTTTATGGCATATTGGTTTTCACAGATAGCTGCTTGTTTTCAGAGTGAGATTTTATATGAAGAGCTGCACTTCTCTCACAGAGTTCTCCTGGTCTGGGTAAAGTGGAATAAGATCTTATGAAGTACATGCTCCCGAATGATCAATGATGAACAGCCTCCCATTCAAAGAGACCAAAATGGAGCCCAGTGTACCGCAAGCGTTCTTGTTTATCATCAGCATTCAGATGCACGAACAGATTCAAGCCCATGATACCCCACACTCTTACCCCAGTCATCTCAAAGGAGCCTGATACCCCAGGAATCAAGGTCCCTGTATAGATGTGAGTTCCTCTGTCCCTGTGACGTGGAGCCGTGCCCAATGCCATTCCATTCTGTGATGGAACCCACCCAAACCCATGGCATCCCCTCTGTTCAACTCACAGAGAAGGATGAGTGAGATCACGAGGCTGATGAGAAGGATGACACAGCCGATGAGTGGCAGCTGCCTCTGGGTCTCTTGCCAGGAGAACTTGGGCAGAGTGAGACCTAAGAACAGGGTGGCAGGGAAGAAAAACTGCTGGGGAGGAGTGTGGCATGGAGGGAGACCAAGAAGGAAGCTAAATGGCCCCTGAGCATCCTAATACAGCTCCACCCCTCCCCAGTAGTATAATCCTCTAACGGAGGCCCTCCTCTAGGCCAGGTGCCGTGCATGTAGTCTGCTATTTCATCCTCACAGCATCCCGTGAGCCGAGTCTTATTAGGTATATTCTATAGACTGGAGAAACTGAGGCTCATGGAAATGAAAGAAGTTACCCAAAGTCACTATCCTGGATAGGAACGGGCTAGAATGGTTCTAAACCTTGGGTGGTTCCTCACAGTCAAATAGCAACCAGGCCTGAATATATCAGATGGGGGAGGGGTGGCAGTGAGGCAGTGGTCAGGCTGGGGTAAATGGAAACAGTTTCCCGAGGGGCAGAGCCAAGCCTTGTGGCCCACTGGCCTCCTTGACTTCCTTGCAGATGAACTGCTGAATCTCATCTTCTAACAAGTTTGGGAAGCTTGGAGTGGTCAGTCCCTCTCATTCTTCCTCCATGTATGAGCAGGCATACCGATCACAACTGTCCACTACTGCAGACCCTGGCTTCCCCAGCAGACATGCAGGCCAGCCAAAGGAAACAGCCCCTCCTCTAGCCAGGAGCTCTTGCTCTTGAAGTCAGAGCTCTACCCCGGGCAGGACAGTCTCCAATTCTGCCCAGAGAGCTCTGGAGTCCAACAGTGAACACATTGCTTCCTTGCCCCTGGCATCTGGCCTCCTCCTCCTTTTGCCTAATTTTTCACTGCCTTAGGTTGTCATGTCATGGTCCCTTTCTACCCTCACCTCTCCAGATCCCCCAGGTTCCACTCTGGCTGTCCCCCGTGTCATTATCCCAGGGGCACGAGGATCAGAGTGCTCACCGAGAGCAAACCTCTGCCCAAAGACACTTGCCCTGGTTCTCTGCCCTCCCTGCAACGGCCCCCTTACCTGGGCTCTCCCTGGTGGCCCTGGTGGCTGGTGCTGACCTGGTAGGAGGTGCCCGGATGGGGACAGCCCCCACTGGTGTTGCTCTAACAAGGTACACTCTCGTTGGGGAGGATGTCGTGGAGGCTGACCTGGCAGAGGATGACCTGCCCGAGGATGACCTGGAAGGTGATTGCCCGGCCGGAGATGCCTGGACTGGAGTTCCCCGGGCCAGGGAAGCCTGCAAAGCTGCTGTTGCTGGAGATGTCCTTGCTGGAGAACCCTGGGGAGGAGGTGTCCTTGCTGGTGGTGTCCTTGCCGGGGAGCCCTGGGGAGGAGGTGTCCTTGCCGGGGAACCCTGGGGAGGAGGTGTCCTTGCTGGAGAAGCATTCTGCAAATAGAATGAAGGGCCTTCCTGTGACTACTCCCAGCCAGCCTATCCCAGCTGTGGTGACAGCTGGATGAATACTCTGGGGCAAGTGGTAGGGGACAAAGGGGCCTGTGCTTGAATATATTCAACACAAGTCCTGAGCAGGACAGGCCAAAGTTCTCCTGATGAGAACATCTGACACAAGCAGCACCATTGTCCCTTATGAGTGGGACACAGAGAATACACTTTTAAATTCCTCTCTTCCAGGAATCAGAGGCAATTGGTTTGGTCACATCTTTATTTAATTGGGGCCTGTGTGTTGGATTCAAGGGAGGTTTGACCACACTCAAGGCAGGGACCAGAGTCTCCCGTTAGGGAGGCGTTGGGGTCTTACAGTGGAAAAGGATGGTTACATGTGAGCTTCCTCATCTCAGCTGGCTGCACAGGGGTGCATCTGAATGTTTGGGCACATTCAGGCAGCTGCTTCTGCCGCCAGCTGTTCTGACACTGAGGCCGACCTCCTACCAGTAATGTCTAGAGAACAGATTTCCAAACAAGCAGGTTTACCTCTGGCCCTTACAAGAGGCCTTGGGGCAAGGAAGGTAGAACTAAAGAAGACATTTGTTTTTAGGGGCACTGTGTATGGCAGGCAAATGTTCCATCATTGAACCACATTCCTTACCCAAACGTGCCTGGGCAACAACTCTGGCCCTGAGCAAGTCCATCAACTGAGAATGCACTTAATGACAGTCAGGCAGCCCTCCACCCCAACCCTGGGCCTGTCCTTTCACAACAAAAAGACTAAAACCAGCCACCCAATCACTTAAGTGTTTGTTCGTCTATAAAAATAGTCTGGCACTAATTAGGAATCACCAGGGCCTGGCTATAGGAATTCCTAGTAAATGGCGGTTTCCTCTCCTTCTGTCTTTTCATGCACGGGATCAAGAAGTCTGAGGTTCAACAGCCGTAGGGTATGTTGGTGAATGATGGGAGAAAAGAGAGTGTTGGAAAAAAAACGCTGGACTCTGGTACCTCATTTAGAGGGATGGGACCCAGTGATGTAAGGCCCCGAGTGACCTTCCCAGTTGTGGTGGCCTGAGCCTTGGTTCCTTTCAGGGACCTGACATTACAGCACCCCTGCTGGGGTCCATTCTTGTAAATTCACTCCAAACTTCCCCAGTTACTGGGGACATTCCTATGATTTGATATAATAAAATACATTTTAGAATCTCCAGCAGACTTCCCTGTCTGTAGCCTTGTGGGTTCTAACCTCATCCTGAGAGTTGGTAATTCTTCTAAAAGCTCACTTTTCAGAGTTGGATTACCAAAACCGTGGAGTCAGGATTGCACCTCAGGTCGCATCCCTCTCGAGGCAGAAGGAGAAACAGTTGGTGCTGTCGTCTGAACACAGGCACAGGACACTCGCTGTGCCTTTGGAACATGACCAAAGAACTGGGGACCTTGGAAGACAGGAGCTCTCCTGGGGGCTAAGGTGGAGCCCAGGCATTTCTTGGTGGGGACTTGACCTTGTGGTACTTTTTGTTGTGAACTATGGCCATCGATCCCCATCCCCCACCCCTCACCAGGTCCGGTTGGAGCCTTGTGACCCAGAACTGTCAGGGTTACAGCAACTATGCCTGAATTCAGCTGCATGACATGGGCATGGCAGCTTCCTTAACTGTGAGCTATGGGTAATCACCCTGCTTCGTAGTTCGGTAGTCATAGATGAGACATGCAAAAGCATGTGTGCTCAGCGAGGGCTGGAGAGACGCTGACTGTAACGGCGGGTCTGCTTGTTTCTTTAAGAACGCTTGGCTCGAAATCAGTCCAATACGGCTGCGTCTATTCCCTACTGGGTTTTCTTGGGCAGGACAGCACGAGCCTGCCAGAGCTTGTTTTGCATGTATGCACATGGCTAATCTCATCTCCTTCCCCATACAATCAGGGACTCTACGTGAACAAGCCTGGACTATACACGAGGGTCAAGCTCTGATGACGATAACAGCCCATGAGGTGCCTTACTTGGTCCCATGCCAACCTCCAACTGGCTCTTTTTAGTCGGTATGATTCACTCCACTTTACAGACACTGGAACTGAGGGCTGATAAGCTGGATCAGTGCATAACAGCACTTGCTGCCAAGCCTGGAAACCAGAGTTCAATTCTCCGAAACCCACATGGTAGAAAGAACTGATTTCCTGGAAGTTGTCTTCTGGCCTCCCTGTGAGTATGCCACCCCCCCCCCCCACACACACACACACTTAAACAATGAATAATAAAAAGGTGATCAATTTTCAAATTTTCAGGTCAAGTAAGGAAGAGGGCTTGGATTCTAACCAAGTCAGCTTGTGAGCATTGATGTCACAAATGACCAGAGCTGTGTCCTGAGTCTCTCCACGGCTCATCATCTGTAGTTTCACACATATTATTCAGTCTGGGTCTCACAAGGGGCCTGGTGAGCAAACTGGTAAGAATGGTCATCCCTGCCCTGTCTGTTTGGTTTTGTTTGCTTGCTTGTCCACTTGTTTGTTGAGAGAGGGTCTCATGTAGCTCAGGCTAGCCTTGAACTCTTGGTGTAGATCATAGAACTTCGGATCTACCTGCACGTTTGATCCCATGATCAAAGGGAAAAATGAGGGGACTAGGACTGGAGGAGAAAAGGCAAAGAAGGTCAGGGACAAGGTACAGGCAATTAGAACAGGGGAGAGTTGTGACGCTGGAGTAAGAAAGAGATTGAGAACAGAGAAGAAACGGGCCAGCAAGGTGGGAAATCAGTAGAAGCCAGAATAGGTAACTGGAAAACTGGTAGGCAACCCTGAGTTGGGGGGCATTCAGCCTGGCCTTGACAAAGTCAGCACTCTATGATCAGAGGTGGAGTGAATGCTGGGTGTTATAGGCCCCTTGGTCCTGCGCAGGAGGAGAGACGTAGAACCCAGAATCGGACCGAGAAATGCCACGTGAAGGACATTTGTGAGCCCCAGGAGGATGTCAGAAAGGAAGCGCAGCCCAGAGGCCAGAGGACAGCAGCCACTGAACTTTGACCCAGACTTCACAAGCCCTTAGGATCTTCAGAGAGCATGAGACTACCAGACCCACAGCCTACTCTTTATGCATTTCGTGACCTGCCACTCCACCCAGCTGGAAGTGCTTCCTGATGTCTAACCTGCTACTACACTAACTCGGTTCCTCCCCCTCCATCCTTGGAAAGCAACCGCAGAGATGTTACCCTCCCATCTGGAGACGTGGCCTCGCCCTGACAACAGATGGGGCTCCAAAAAGGGAGGAGACTTCTTGTCCAAGTCCCTAGGTACTAAGGTGTAACCAGGGGGCCAGAACTCAGACCCCCACCACCATAGCCTTTGTCAATTAGCACAACCCCCTTTCTCCCCAAAAGAACTCTTGGCCAAGTCCTACCAGGGCCCTACACTTCCCACAGCCCCCTACAGACCAGAGGCCGTGCAAGCTGCATGGGTAGGTGTCAATGATGGAGTTAGCACCTGGATAATTTGAACCATTTTCTACAATTTATTCCTTCTGACCCCACCCCCGTGTTCTCTAGAGTAACAACTAGCCATCCGATGAGCTGCAGACAGACCAGTCCCTTCTGATGTTCCTGGTTGTGCCTGAAAAGCTCTGCGTACACTGTTCACAGTGGAGGGCAGAAAGCTGGGCATGGCTGTGTGTGGCTGTCCCTCTAGTGTCGGGGGTACTGAGACTGATCTCTAGCGCTCACTAGCCACAGGCTAACAGAATCAGTGAGCTTCCGGTTCAAGGAGAGACCTTGTCTTAAGGCAATAAGGAGGACAGCAATAAAGGAAGACAGTGGACAAGGTGCCCTGACCTCCATATACTCATACACCGGTGCACTCACATACATCACACACACACACACACACACACACACACACACACACACACACACAC